AATTAACTTTTCCAAACAGATTTTGGATCATTCATTCTCCATCCGCCGTTACAAAACTACCAAGTTTAGATACAAGCTGCCATAGCGCCAGATAGGTAGGCAACATCTGGCCCGCAGTGCACGCGCGTACTGCGGTGTGGCCTACCCCGAGTCTCGCAGGCGCCCAGCTCCCGTAATTTGCCGTATCGATTTGAGGAAAAACGGACGTACTTTTTGAACAAGCAGAGGTATCAAATTTATTTTTACAAACCTCTTTTGCCACCAGTGTCCAATTCTTCATATGCTTTGTCAGGGCTTTGACAAAAGCGTCCATTTCGTCAACGCTCCACAGTTCGGTGATGCCATAATCATAAGAAAGTAGAGAATGCTCAGGCGGGAGAACCGGGCTTCGCTGCATGAGCTGCACCATGGCCTCCTGAATGTCGCCGTCGCACATGTGGAGCAGGTGTAGAGCGTACTCCTGGTTGCGGCCACCCCAAGGGATCGCGTCGCAACAGGCGAAGTCCAAGTATGCGTCCACTGCAAGGTGTGAAACGGTAAGATAGACACACGACTCGACTCCAGCCTCCCCACGCGTTTCCCAAACGTCCCGCTCACCCTCAGAATCCGTGCACTTATCCACCGCACCCGGCTCCCACAGCAGGTAGTTATGGCTGCTGGCTGGTTCGTCGGACCACGAGTAGGGCCTCTTGTCGCAGGGCGGGATGGCGCACTGGAAGCGCGCGCCAACGTTCACGTGCGGGAAACTGTCCGACTCGGGAGCCGAGATGGCCATGGCGTCGCAGCTGTCCTCGCCGTCCGCCGTGGTGGACGAGCAGTGCCAGGACGACCCCGCGTGTGCGATGAGGCCGGGGCCCGCACGGTTGGGGTCCAGCATGGGCGCGGGGGTGAACGGCATGCTCGCCGAGCAGATGGCCTCCCGGCGGCAGCTCCTCAGGCGCGACTTGTAGGCCGGGTAGGGCCGCGTGAGCCGGGGCCGCTTGGCGCGCGGCGCGCACAGGGGCTGGCCGCTGGGGGGCGCCGCGGGGCTGCTCTGGCTGAGCGGGCTGTCCGGCACACTGAGGGCAGAGGACGGCGCACTATAGGTCATCACTCACCCGAATACAGACCCGACAAGTGGCTGAAAAACACCCGTGGGATTTGGCAGTTATATTGTCCCGCGCGGCTGGTTTAGAGAGCTACCGCATTGTCCCTTGCCATGGCGCCTTACGCGGCCCCGAGATAAGCAACCTGCTCACGCTCGTGCACGCAGTACAGTATAACTACGAAATTCGACAGGGGTTCCAGCAATCGGCTGCAGAAATGTTGTCTCAAATAAACTTACATCGGAGGACCAAGGAAAACTTCATCGTCCATATCTTCTGACTTATAATACTGAGGCATCATTTGGTAGGTGGAGGTATTTAAAGCCCCTGCATTGGCAGTTTGAACATCCGTCGTGTTGAAGTTGGATGCGGTGTCGAGGTTGCTGTGTTTAGGCTTGGTATTCCGGCTACTTAATTTCTGCACAATCGCTGTTGGCGCTTGGATTAAATGCAATTCTCCTCCTCTCTCCACGAGGACGCTTCCCAAAACAGTTAATGATCTGATAAAAGAAAAGAAAGTTAAGAATCAATCCAGAAACAAGCGATCGATTTAAATGACACCATTCGACAGCAAGAGAAAAACAAACTAACAAGCATTGATTAAAACGCAAAAATTACGCTTTGTAAGAAGCTGACACTTTCACGAATATGGCATTGTTTGGGATTTGACAAGCATTCTGTCGAGTGTACCCACCCAAGGTCTATCTTCTTCCTGGTGATATCCTTAATCGTCGAAGACAGAAGCGGATCCTCGGAGTGAATAAGCAGTTGATGTGGCTCCGAGCCGTCGCTCTGCGGAGACAGCGGCAGGAACGATGTCAGGGGTGACGGGGGAGCCGGGGGCGGCGAGTTGGTGTTGGACGCGTTCACCGAGGGCGGTGGCGTAGGGAAGGAACTATTTGCATAGTTGTGGTGTTGGAGGACGGTGGCGGTAGCGACCGAGTCGGAGGACATCGATAGCTGAACCACAAGATAAGATAAGTAGGATAAATAAAATAAATAAATGTAGATGGATAGATCAAAAGGATGCTACTTTTTTATTGCCCCCAAAACGAGGAAAACTGTCAATCTGTCCTTACCTTCCTGAAGGCTTGCTCGTGCTGGTCCACGTGCCGGCGGGCTGTCGGCGGGCAGCTAGTCGTGGTGGTGGTCGTGGTGGGCGGTGAGGACGTCGAGGACACGGCACTGTCTCTGCCTGCGAGCAGCGCCACCCTGCCGATGGTACCGCCTCGCTTCTGGATGATCTTCTCCTCGATCAGCTGTCTCACCGACACGCTCGCCGTCTGCAGTGGCGGCCCCGTCGACTCGCGCTTGTCGGAGCGCTTCGATTCAGATTCCTGAGGAGAGGCGTAGAGTTTAAAACGACCCTCGTACTAAAAACAAACCAAAAAAATCGTGAATTGGTAAAAAATGTTGCCTACTTTTTTGAAATAGCCCCCGTGAAGGCGCATATGCCCATTCAGTGCAGGAATGTTCTTGAAGCGCCTGTTGCACAGGTTGCAGGCTACAGGCTTGCTCTGGTTGTTGGCGGCGTCAGCTGCGGCCTTCGCGTTCTTCTTCGCGTCATCATGGCTGGCGGGATTCTGAGCCCGAGAGGTCTGGCCGGAATTGTTGTTCTGCAAAAGTACATGCGCGTTTAAACCCAAGTCAAGAGAGCAACAAGAACAGAACAATAAATAAAGTTGTGACTATGTGGGTGTATCACACCAGAACTTGTCCTGACTTCCAATTTTTATACAATAGCGGTGAAGTCAAGGTGGAGGGTAATGACTATGGTTTAGTGTTGCATGAGTACACTGATCAGTAAAAAATAATACTCCTACTGTTTTTACAATCTAATAGTGAATTAAAAATAATGAGCCAAAAACGCGACGGACGTCAAAGTCAGATAAAATCATTATCTCGTGCACGGTACTGGCAAAACTGAAAAACGAAATGTACATGGGCCACCAGCTTAGCTCACCTGAGCTTCTCGCACACTGCCCAGGTGAGCGGTGCTGCTGACTTTGCAGCTGGATATTCCGGAACTACAGGCGGTGTTGGTGCTTGTTTTGGTGCTTCCTTTGGAGGTGATAACAACTGGAGCTGATGAGGATTTGGTTGAGGTAAGGGTCAAGGCAAGAGTGCTGGCTGTGGTGGTGACGGTTGTCGTGGTGGTGGGGGTGCTCACAGGTGCGCAATTCGACGTGCTAGCAGCGGGCATTTCGTGGGTCAAACCGGATTTCGACTGTTGCTTCTTCTGGTGCAAGGGGAAGGTCCGCACTGGCTGCTTTAGCGCGCCGACAAAATCTTTCGCTTCCACCGAATTTCTGAACACGTCAGTCTGGTGTTCGGCAGGTGCCTGTAGACGAAGTTGACCGATCAGATCCTCATAGTTCGACAGTCGGAACACGAGACGTCCTCTAGCGTCACGCCAGTCACTTACCTGCTGAGATCTTTTCTGAGGTAGCTCGGCCACCAGGGCGCCCTTCATGGACACCTGGGACTGCATGGGCACGAGCTGGACTTGCTGCACCGCGTGGAACTGGGACTGGAACGCCTCCAGCGCCGCCGCGTCCTGCTGGCACTGCATCGTGCCGGCCCCACCGGACGCCAGCAGCAGGGTAGGCGACTGCGGCAGGTGGCTTTTAATGTGGCCCGAGCTGTGGCCCACAATCGGGGCCGAGATCTGCATGGTCTGGCCCGACGTGGACGTGACCGTCATGTGGGACCACGACACAGGGGGGAGCATCTTCACCGCCTGCTCCGCGGCCTGCTCCGTCGCGACCGGCTTGTCGGGCTGGGCAAGCTGCGGCCGCACCCCCACCACGCTGGACTGGGCGGCCGGAGACTGGATACCCACGGCCATGCTGGTCGAGGTCTTGATCAGCATGGGCTGGCTCAAGCCCTGAGCCACCTGCTGCTGCGGCGTGGGCGACAAGAAGCTGGACACAAAGTTGGTGGAGAGCACCTCGCCCTGGACCTGCGGGGGCGAGGCGAGAGCCGCCTGGGGAACGGGGCTCTGTGGAATGGACTGATCAAGCAGTAAACTAAACTGCGTCGTCTGCTGAGGTGCGACCTGCGCGCTCTGCAGTTGGTTGGCCGCCAGCGGCTTAGATGAGACCACCCTCGCCGTGAGGAGCTGTGGCCTCACTGAGGGAATGGTGATGGGGGAGGGGTTGGACAGCTGTGGTATCCTGAGGGGCGAGGGTTGGTTCCCGGCCACCGACACCAGGACCCCGGACACCCCGGGACTCGGCGTCGAACAGGTGAAGGTGACGGGCGACGGTAGCGCGGGGCTGGGCAGCGGCGAGGGCAGCGGCGAGGGCAGCGGCGAGGCTTGCGACGACGACACGCAGGGCGCCGGGACGGAGGGGATGACAAGGGGCGCCACGGAGCCGGCCGCGAGTCCGCCCGCGGACCCACCGGCCGTCGGCAGCGACACTCCGAGCAGCTGCTGCCGCGGCGCCGCCTCCCCCAGGACGGAGCCGCAGATTTGTGACAGCGCGGCTGTCAATACTTTGGGACTCGCCGCGTCCCCCGCGCCGTCGGGCGCCACATTGCTTCTGTTCGGCGACAGAGTGGCGCTCGCCGCCGGCGTGGCCCCCAGCGCCCCGCCGCTGGACGTGACGGGCGGCGGGCAGCTGCCCTCCTCGTTGGCCAGCGGGCCGCAGCTGTCCCCGCTCTCCCCGGCCGCCGACAGCAGGCTGAGGATGGTCTTGGAGTTCCGCCGCCGCACCTCCTTCTCCTTCTCCTTCTCGGCACCCTTGTCCTTGAGGGCCGGAAGACCCTTGAGGTGGTGGTGGTTCTCCTCGTGCCGACGGAGCGACCGCGCGTCGCAATAGCTCTTGCTGCAGCCCTCCAGCATGCACTCGTAGGGCTTCTTGTTGCGGTGTGTCAGCATGTGGCCGTTCCTGGAACCGAACAGAACCGGCTGTTGAAGGGGTAGGGCCGAGGGTGAGCAGGAGGGGGTGGCACCCGGGAGATACTCACAAGTGGTCCTGCCGCTTGAAGGCCTTGCAGCAGACACTACAAACGTAACGCCGCTCGTCGCTGTGGGTGAGCTTGTGCTTGGCCAGCGCGGAGGCGTTGCTGAACACCTTGGAGCACACCTGCAAAAAGCGAAGCGGTTATACGGACACGCATGTTAATCCGCCATCATCACTCAAGTCTACAAAAACAAAAAGAAAGAACTACATTGCAATTTTTCAGTCAGTTCCAATGCCTCCAGTCCCAACAATTATTTACGTCCAGCCAAGTTGTCTAGTCTTAACAGACGGCTTTCAATCATCTCCAGTCTTCCACACAGGGACCTCTACATATTTATGGCCCCAGAGTCAACCCCGTAGAGTTGTGACAATGGTCACATCCTGAAATCAAGTAACCTGCAGTCACCTCCAGTTTCGCTTCCAGTCAGCTACAATTCATTTCGGCACATACAATCATCGTGTACCAGGTGTACCAGAGCACAGCACAGCCAGCGATTTACAATTAACTACAACCAATCAAATCTGTTGCAGTCTTGGGACGTGACTTTGGAGCGTTGGGTACACGCGTTGGTGCTCGACGGCCTTAAGCCCCAAGGGGACTAAGAGGAAGAATAGGGGTCTAGGGTGGTGGGGAGGAGCATCCATCAGCGAAATCAAGTCAGCACGCCCGACTGTAATCAGATATATTGACCCGCGAGGAAAAACTGCTTCTCACCCGGGAATAACGCGCCTCGGCTCACGCTCACGAGACAATCGATTTACCCATCAACCCCACCCCACCCGCAAAACCACCCGCCCCGCACTCCACATCGGACCCCTCGCTGCTCCCCGTAAACATTGGTTCGAGAAAAAAGTGCGGAAGTGAATGAAAAAGAGTTGCGATTTATGACGGAACTTCCTTTCAGTCAGCGGCGCCGGAGGCCCCCCGGCGGGGACATCCCACCCCTCCCGCCGCGCTGACTGACAGACGGCGCCATACATCAGGGGCGCGCGCTGCCGCGCTGCCGGCGCTGCCTACCTGGCACTGCTGGGGGCCCAGCCTGCTGGGGGACACGGCCCGGGAGCGCTGCTGCTGCTGCTGCTGTTGCTGCTGCCGGCCCGCACCGCAGCAGGTGCCGGCCACGCCGCCCGACGTGCTGCCGCTGAAGTTGGTCGTGCCGCTGCAGCCGCTCGTGCCGCTGCAGCAGCTGCTGCTACTGCTGCTGCTGCTTCCCGCCGACAGCTGCGTCGAGTCCTGGCTGCTGCCCACTGGAGAGTAGAGGAATACCAAGCATTAATGGTGATTAATCATTAAAATTCACTTGGGCATTTCTTTCAACCTGTCCATATTTTTGTAGTCTGTGAACGCAGGTTGGGAGGTGTCCTACCCGATCCACACATTTGTGTTTGTACTTCAGTATGTACCGTCTGCAGGCGTGCGCGCTATCGCCTGAAACAAGTCGCCTAAGAGCCCCGGGCAGAAGGCAATATAGGCAACCCGCCCGGGCGGGCGCATCGCCTGCCCTGCGGTGCAGCATAACTGGAAAGAGGAGGAAAGCAGGGCGCCCGCGTTGGGGCACCCTGCGGCACAGTGGTTTATCATCGAGCGAGAGGTGTCTCCTCTTTTACATAACTCGAGGAAGCCGACAGTTCTGTCGGGGTGGTACAGCGCAGCGTGGGCCACACCGCGCGGCCGCGGAAGAAACGGCGGCGGCGTTCAGCGTTCCATGACGCGCGTGCCAACGCCAGCGAGCGGCGGCGGCGGCGGCCTATCTCTCGTTTCACATCTCGGCTGCGCCAGGCAATATAACTCCCCCATCTTCATCTCGGAGCCGGGCCGCGCCGCCGGCCGCGCAGGTCGTAACAATGAACCCCAACAGGTCGGCCCGCCCCGCGGCTCGTCCTTTGCGTTGGCCTATACCGGGCTGCGAGCCCTGCAGGGCACCAATTAAATACGGCCCGGGCTTAATGTTGTTTTCGCGCGGGGCGGCGTGCGGCGGGACACAATGCAGTCGTGTGCGCGCCGGGCCCCGCGCCGGGCCTCGCAGTCCCCACGCCGGGCCCTCTTGGCGCCCTGGCCGCGCCCGCCCGTCCGGGGCACATATCCAACAGACACGCGTTACGTCACTCAGCGCCATGAGCCACGGCCGGCAGCAGGCTGAGCCATGTGGGCCGTGAGGCGCCCCTTTCTTACCCTGCTGGCAAATGTTTCGAATTTGGAAAAAAATGAGATGGTAATCGGGTAAGGCGTGACCGCCCTTCCCGAGGACAAGACGGTTGGAAAATCCGTGAAAAGGATTTTGTGTCGCGACATGTGTGTATAAGATTTAAGTATCCTTGCCACAGTACTGCCCCCTCCTTGACGCCACGGCTTATGGCCCACCTTCATTGCCTTATTGAAAATTGAAACTAGATAACTAGAGACACCCTTTCTTCCCGATTGCTGACAAAAGTGGGCCCAGAGCGCAAACTTGTGTACACGGACAATAGAAAAGAAAGAAGTGAAGAGGGACAAAATATGATCTCTGGTCCGCAGGTGTCGGTATTTGAACCCGATACCGCCAGGAGAGTCGGCGCGATGGGGCGGGGCGGAGGGGGCAGAATAATGGCCGTGTGCTGGCGAGGGGCCAGGCTTTATTCCGAGACTGCGGGTAGATGACTCAATTGTACTGCGACAAAAACGAAGGTCACTGCTGGTTTGCACTGCCGCTTTTGCACTGCCCCTCCCGTGCACCACCGTGCACCACCCGTGCTCCGCCCCGAGCACCGCCCTCTGCGCGCGCTGGTGGCCACGCGGACACGGGGAGGAGGAAGGAGAAGTGAACAAAGTGGGTCGCTCGCCCTCGCCGCGAGCGGAGCACAGCCAGCACAGCCGCCACGGCGAGGGCGCGGTCGACAAGAAACCTAGAAGGGCAGCTCTACATGTCGTCCACTCCCCCTGCGCTGCGCCGCTGGCAGCCGCCGGACACCGCCGCCGCCGCTGGCGCCGCCAGAACCAGAAACTTTTAATCACACCCGCCGAGCGGGACAGAAGAACAGGCGTTGTAAAAAAATAAAAAATAACAAAACAAAGACGACAAAGAAAAAGACATGGGCGAATAATAATTTTGCCAGGGCACTTTCGAGTGGCGGCTTTGCGGCGTCGCCGGCGACGCTTCACGCGGATGTTTTGCTGCGCCTGCCGGGCGGCGCTTGCAGCAGCTGCGGAGGCGCTAAGCTCTATTTATTCGAGCGGGCCGGGTAGGGACGCTGCTGCTGCTGGTGTACCATTCGCGCCGCGCGGGACTTCACCGGCATATAACCTTATTGCCCAATTACATCGACTCAAACACATCTGCTACACAATGTCACCCCCGTCACTTCACCCGCACCCAACCTCCACCATTAATTTTGAAGTGACGACACACATTCCACTGGCCCCACCGCCGGTGGGGGGGTCCCCCGTCCACCACCCCTCCCCCCCGATCTCGCTCCCTCGGCCCCGCGATTCACCGAAGCTCGCAACACAACCCAATCACCCTAATAGCCCCTTACACATCAAAGGACGATGAAATTGCCCCAAGCTGATGGGAAACCTGAACGTTCGGCAAAGGGAGATGGACCATGACCATGGAGAGCGTGGGTGTAGGGCCAGGGGGTGACGAGGAGGTCGGG